ACAAATGCATACTTCACTGTAATTAGTAATCTTTATTTCTGATATTGAGCCTTAAATAAATTGACTCATTTAATTTGTAATCTTCTGAGTCTAACTTCTTTTTCTTCATAGAATAACCATGTCCTGCATCCCTACTGTTGAATATAGCAATAGTCCGAATAATTCTCCCCTTGTATAGATTTACATTGCATGACAATATTACTGTATGAACTGCTGCTGATAGGTAGGTTGGGTCAGTGAACAAGATGCTTCTGACTAATGCTTCACTCCCAGCCCCCTCTTCTCCACCCCCCACCATTGCCTGAAGCCTCTCTCGGTCTTTGACCAGCCTTTCTGGGCCCCGAGAAAGTCTTATTTTTAACTAAGAAGCAGATACAGAAAAGTGTGTGTTACCTCTTACCCTCACTGAAAGGCTGGGATGGTAGGTCCAAAGGAAACTAGTTCCCTTCTACCAAAAGGAGTCACTTTCCTTCTCTCTGGCTGCTTGACAAATGGCTACCTATGGCATCCATTGACATACCAGGGGCTATATTGGCCTCCAGACTGCTTTAGTATCATAAGCACCTCTTACAAAAAGAAAAAAAACTTAAAAGAGAGAGCTATTCAGGATAGAGGCTAGGCTCTGGTTAAGTGTTTTACTTCACCGTTACCAAACTTTACTTGGGGAAAACAGGTATTGATTTTCTCTGTCTTGCTGTTTTATGCATCCTAATGCTCATTTATAAATGTCAGTGTCTACCCCTTTGTACTCCACTCAGGCCAATCAAAATTCATTCATTAATTAGTAAAATCCTAGCGGCTTCTAGTGTCAATGTAAACAAAGACCTTAAAAAATTGGGATACTCTGTTAGTATTCTGAAAGAGGAATTTTCCTCTGGAGCTGAGACGCTCCCCCAAAACAGAAGGGGAATGGACCTACTCTTCTTCACGCGTGGAGGACTTTTATGGCCTTGGGAGAAACGTACTGTTTTTACACAAACAAATCTGGTCTAATTAGACAGACTGATTGAAATAGTTGTCTGTCACTTAATTAAGACATACTGATTGTTACTGGGTTTTTGTGGGGGAGGTGGCTAGTTGTTGTGTGTGTTTGTTTGTTTTTTGTTTTTCAAGAGAGGATTTCTCTGGGTATCTTTGACTGATGTGGGACTCCCCTCTGTATGCTATGAATATATGAATATGTTTTATTAGCATAGGTGAATAAATAGCAGGGCAGAATATAGCCAGGCTGGAAGAGATAGAGTGAGAGAACCCATGTAGCTGCCAAAGGAGACAGGTGCCAGATCCTTACTAGTAAGCCCCAACCTCCTGACAATACACAGATTAATAGAAATGGGTTAAAAGATGTAAGAGTTCGTTAATAAGAAACCGAGTAAGCAGACCAAACAGTGTTGTAATTAATATAGTTTCTGTGTGATTATTCAGGTCTGAGCAGTCTGGAAAGGAGTGAGCAGACTCTGCCTACAACTGGCAGTCCTGGAACTCACTTTGTAGACAATGCTGGCCTCAAAATCAGAGAAATTTCCCTGCCTTTACCTCCCTCAGCCTCAGAGTATTAGGCCTAAAGGTGTCTGCCACCCTGTTGGGCTTGGTTTTGATGTTTTAACTGAAACTTTATCATGAAAGCTGGGCCCAGGGTTTCCCTATACTTGGAAGAGAGCTTGGACTGTCTTCTAGAATTACCCTCTCACATTTCCTCTACTCATGACTTTCTTCTATTTAGCAATGTGAATTTAATTCCACCCTGACCCAGTGTTTATTACTCTTGTTGTTGCTGTGTGTGTTCTGGGGACTGAGGCCAGGGCATCCTGATTTCTGCGTGTCTCAGACAACCCTGCCACCATCCTTGATTCTTTTCTAATAAGGATGATTTTCTATGCTTTTACAAATAGAGCTTTGCTATGTTTTGTTGGCCTTTAATAAGATGTAGCGTGGTCACACTATTTAGTTCTGCAGTCATTTATGGCTCCCTGTGACATTAATTGGGTCTCTTCCAGAACACATTAGGCCATTTAGACTGTCTGTTGTCTTAAAGCACTACATTTTCCAAGCATCTCTTAACATTTGCTTCAGAGTCTGCTTCTGTTTATACTCGTTAAAGATACTTTAGCATTTTAAGTTTTCAGCAAATTAGAGGGTCCCTCTTTTGTTATAAAATTTGCCAATTGAAAGTGGCTTGGTAGAATTTTTAAAAAGAAAAAATTTGAATGTAGATGAATCTATAATTTCCTTTCTGGTATCAAGGGGGAAACTCTCACGATTCTAGAGAGGACCATTTTGAGATAGCAGTGTGGAGGAATTAAATTGGGAGGGCGTTCTAAACAGTTTTTCAGTATCTTATGAAAATGAAGACATGGCCACTTCTAAGTGTGGTTGGGAAGACGGGTTTTACTGTAGATATGAGGGAGAACTTAACCAAAGGCATCTGCAAGGGTCCAGACTGAACAAGTGCATAAGATTGGAGGAGGGGGCAAGCAAACTGAGAGAGGAGCCAAGGACCAAGAAACCAAGAGACTTTAACAAAGACACAGTGCTTTTCATTGTTATTTTGGTGCAATACACCATTTGTAAAGCGGCATTAGTATCTGAGTATTGAACTCACATACCATTTGTGGTTGAATAAATTATTTTCACTGTATTATGTTCGTATAATAGAAACTCTGAATAAGGTATGTTCTCTTCAGCATTTTGGCACATGGCTTCATACATAAGCAGAAACCAATCTAGATAACAGAATGTTTGTTTGTTTTGGTTTTCACAACTTTTAAGAAATACATACAATATGTCCTCTTAGAAACAGACTGTAATTTGTATTCTAATCTTGCATTGTCTAAACAGATGTTGCTAGGTGGACAGGTGCATGCCACTGGTAATTTTGTCTTCATAGACAGCACTTTAGTCATGGCCATTAACTCCGTAGCTTTAGCTGTTAGAAGACACAACTCTTGATCCCCAAATCTACACATCAATATGTCTCTTGGAAGCACTGTAAGGCACACAGCAGAAGAACACTGGAGTGCTACCTACAGTCAGAATCAGAATTCTCACCTTTGGGAGAGAGCATTACAGGAGACCATCTAGCCACACAACTGCAGGGAAGATAAAATGTTGTTTTAATATTCCCATGGGAGCTCCTTACCTATTAATATTTTTCCCGAAGAACCTATTTCTCCCCTCTGGCTCAGTGCCTATTTCTCGTTTCATCTACTCGCTGCAGTATCTCTTTTAAAAAAACATGGTCCTTTGCTATAGTCCACAGCCCCAGAGAGGCTAGGTAACAAGGAGAGCTCACGGGGGATGAATGGATATCCCTGGGAAGGCAGGTGGGGATGGGAAAATGAGGGATCAGGTTAGGGATGGGTGGAGGGGAGAGTACTGAAAAAGATGACTGGAAGGAGGGGTTTTCCAGATCTGGTAGAAACCTGATGCAAGACAAACTCCCATGGATCTATAAGGACCCCATGTAAGACTCCTAACAACAGTGACCTGACCTGGCCACCTTCTATGATCGAAATGGTGATGACCCCAGTTGTCATCAAAGAGACTCATCCAGTAACGGATGGAAACAGATGCAAAAAGAAACATTGCCTAGCTCAGGGGACCCTGTGGAAGAGAAAGAGGACAGACTGTAGGAACCAGAGGGGTTAAGGACTTCCTAAGAACCCAAAGAAACAACTAATCTGGCTCATAGGAATTCATAGACTATAAACCAACAACCAGGGAGCTTGCATGGGACTGAGCTAAGCCCCCTGTGTATATGTGACAGTTGTTTAGCTTGGTCTGGTTGTGGGACTCCTAACAATGGGAGCAAGGGGCTGTCTCTAATATTTTGGCCTGGTCTTGGAACCTATTCTTCATACTGTATTACTTTGCCCATCCTAAATATAAGCTTAATCTTACTGCAACTTGATATGCCATACGTTGTTGCTATCCATGGGAGCCCTGCCCTTTTCTGAACAGAAACAGAGGAGGAGTAGATTTGGGGAGGAAGGCAGAAGAGAAGATGGGGTTGAGAATGGGAGGAGTGGAAGGAGGCAAAACTGCAGACGGATGTGAAATAAAAATTTAGAAAAGGGACTAGTCATTGTGAGATGGGGTGCCTATTTTACCGTGGTGTTTACATTGTGATATAGGTTAGAGACAGCATTCCCCACTCCCTATAGAAATGCAGCCGACTGAAATATCCTTAAGCATTGCCACCCACGCGTTTTATTACTTTGGGATCACAGCTTTTGCTTTAGAGTCTGATTCACAGAGGAGCCTCAACCTTTGGTTTTGTGCCTGGTAAACACGGGGGCTTAAGGTTTTAGTTGGTAAGCTGAATAATACCTGATTGGAAACCTTGTACCCGAGTTAAATTCTATTTGGCCACATCAAAAACTACTGGTATGTACTGATGAGTCTTTCCAACTCCAAAACCTTCTAGTCCTGGGATAATGACTTTTCTTTCGGACCCTAACAGGTATCTCAGCATAATTCTATCATAATAACTTTCCTTCTGAAATTATTAATAAGTCGGTAGCAAAATGCGAAAAAGATAAAACTATACGGAATGTAAATCTTATTAACAGGAATGTTAGAAAGATTAAAGAATACTGTTAAGTAAAGCGATTGAATCCAGCTTCTCTGGCATTGATCTGAGCATGCCGGTGGTTGCTTAGCAACTCCACAACGCTTCCCCCATCCGCCCTGTCTCGAGTCCCGCCCCCAGTTCCGCTGCCACGTCCGGCTGCCTCACATCCCCTATTTCCGCCCTGACCAGCTAGTGGGGACCTAGCGATGTCTTTATTGGACTTCCATTATACTGCCTGACGAAAAAATTGGCAATAAACAATCCAAAATAGAAACATACTCCTTACATGTCATTTATGCTTCATGATTGAACTGAGAAAAAATTGTTGACTTTTGTCTAGCTCTCTGCTGTAGCCTGCGTGTGCTTGTACGTTTCTCAGGCGCGCCGTGGATAGCCGCACGGAAGGGCGACGTGGGCCACGAAGGTCCCCCGCTGCCGGCCATCGAGGAAGCGCGGCGAGCGATTAGGCGCGGTGTGTGTGCGGCGGCTCCACCATGTAAGTGTCCGTCCCTCCGCTCCGGCCCTGGCCTTGCAGCCCGACCCGATCGTAACACCATCTCGTTCTCTCCCTCAGGTCGAAGGTGTCCTTTAAAATCACGCTGACGTCGGATCCGCGGCTACCGTACAAAGTGTGAGTGACAGGCCGGGCTACAGCCGGGCGGGACAGGAGCGTGCAAGAAGAGGGGCGCAGCATTTATGTTGAGAAGCCAACACCCCTCGGATTGCACCGGGTGGGCAGGTGTAACGCGAAAAACTTTGGATAAGGATGCAACACATTGCTCCATCAGTCCCTTTTACGTGATTTAAAGGTCTTTAATCACTTGGACCAGCTGTTACCGGAAGTTAGGGAAGACTTTCTCAAGTCTGGACTCTTGACAGGTCCGAACCTAACGCTGTTAACTTCAGGGTTTTTTGTTTTGTTGATGCCTTGGTGATGAGGCCCAAGTCAGGCACACCTGAATCTTAATAAAACGTCCTTAGCACGACTGGGGACGTGGGGCCCTTTATGCTTGAGCAATTGAGTTGGTGGCTGACACCGGCTACCTGGCTCAGTTCTCTTATGATTTTTAAGTATGGATCCTTTTGAGTAACTGCAGCTGGAAGGCCTATGCGAACCGGCAAAACTTTTAGTAGGATCTTTCCATGGTGTGTGAACGGCACCCAGGTCCGGCTAGCTGATCATATTGCATCTGTCACCGCTTTCGGTGACTTCCCACCTTGGACGCATCCAGCTTCTCCGCCCGTTGTGCCTTTGCCCTTCCATCTATAAAACGGTCTTCTTACCCCTCATCTCTCCAGAAATTGCCCCTTCTCTGAACTATCGCTTTTCAGATACCCACACTCTCTTCCGCGGGGTGATTTCCTGCAGCATCTCTGCCTCCATACTTCTTTTCATCGTTTGTCAAGATGCTTTTTAAGCTGTCTTTCTTCCCTCCCCGGTGTCGTCCCCTCTTATTCCCTATGCGGGTGAAAGTCTGTGGTCTGCCTTTTTTATTTTTATATCACTCCCGCAAACATCCTTGGATCTGGTGGGCACCTCTCTTTGGTCTATTTTGCTTGGTGGAAGACCTGCAAATCCACCCATGTATGTTCTTGGTTTTTGACGCTGTTCCTGGAGAAAATTAGAAGAGCATTGATGACTAGCATTCTGCTGTGGTCCCCCAAATTTGCTCATTTTTTTCTATTTTCGGAAAGTAGTTTTGTTTTCAAAATGTCCACGACTCCTTGCCCCCTCAGTCAAAAGACGTAAAAGGGGAGTTCTCTCGTTTTCATGCAGTACCCGTAAATATCTCCCCTACCTTTGTCGTAAGAACATGGCTAAGGTTGTGAAAGCCTGTTTCTATAATCCACCTGTTGAGTCTGCTCAGAATTGAGGTAGGTTTAGTCAGGACACCTTACTCTGGTCAGTGCCAGTATCAGAGTTCCTGGAGTATTGGACCTTTTCAGTTAATACCCTGCAGCTGAATAAATGTTGATGAATCGGTCAGCGTTGCATTTGTTTAATGCATGTGTGGAAGTGTGCGCATGTGCAGTCTGTTGACCTGAGAATCCGTAACTGCTACTGAAAACTTGGTAACCCTCCCATCCCCAGTGTATCAGAAGATTTGAAACAAGTCACTATTAGGACTATTAGACTGTTCTTTTTAGTCTCTGCCCCACTACCTCCCCCCCCCCAAAGGAAAACAGAGCCGGGCGATGGTGGCGCACGCCTTTAATCCCAGCACTCGGGAGGCAGAGGTAGGCGGATCTCTGTGAGTTCGAGACCAGCCTGGTCTACAGAGCTAGTTCCAGGACAGGCTCCAAAGCCACAGAGAAACCCTGTCTCGAAAAACCAAAAAAAAGAAAAAAAAAAAAAAAGAAAGGAAAACAGAGATACAAATTTTAATCATTAAATAACATTTGGAGGGAAAATGCTAGCAGAGAAACATCATTTGAACTTCTTTTAAAAGTCAGTACAATACGGTGTGACTTAATATTCAGAGGCGGCGGAAGAGGATGGAGGCTTAGACGTAAGAATGTCTATGACAGTAGTTGATGTCTAGACATTATATGTGATGGCAAATAGAGACGCTTAGAGAGAAATGCTAGCTTCTTATTTTCTCTGCTTGGGAGGTGTCTGGCTTTTGGGCATAATCAATGCTTTTCATTGTTTTTGTCTGTTTTGATTTGTTTTGTTTTTGCTTTTTAGAAGTTTAGATGAGAGGCAATAAAGTAGACTGAGGAGCAGAGAGAGACTGACCTTGCTGGTAGCCACCTCATTCTTGGCACCCTGGCATTTGGAAGGCAGAGGCAAACAGAGCCCCCTGAGTTTGAGACCAGCCTGAGAAAACCAGTTTCCCTCCTTTGCAGTGAAATACACCTTGAGAGGCTTTAAACTCGTGTTTCTTTGTTGCAGTCTCAGTGTTCCGGAAAGTACGCCGTTCACGGCCGTGTTGAAGTTTGCAGCGGAAGAAGTAAGTGTGGATTCTAGCAGTGGCCTCGTGGATGCGGTCTGGTTCAGTTTTGCTTTTTGTCTTTTGTGTATTTGCACACACTGTGCCGCTCCCCACCCCATTTCCCTGCCGATCATAGCTGGGCTCGTGCTGTAAGGTGCTCTATCTATCCTCTCGTTAGGAAACCGTGGGTGAGCAAGTTGGCATAGCTGTTTAATTCAGTGAATGAATGTATCAGAGACAGGAGTTGTTTTTATTAAATAACTAACTTCATATCAACCTGTTTTGGATGTACTTTTGGTAAAAATTTTGAAAAGTGTCTAGCTTTTTAAAAAACACGTTGGCCTTTTCTGTTTTTAAGAAGTGAGCATTTTTTACCTGCAATTATCAGAATTGTTTATAAAGCATCTCTGTGCACAGCACTCAGAAGTGTAGGTTGAGCTGGGCAGTCGGCATCAGAATGTGATTTGGAAGACTTCAGCTTTCTGTTTTAGTGGTGGTGTTGGTCCCTGGGCTGTGAGCATACCAAGCTCTAATGCTGCACTCTATACTCTAGTGACTGGTTTTGTTTTTTTGTTTTGTTTTTTGTTTTTTTGTTTTTGCTGTTGTTTCTGTCTCTAAAAGACTGCTGGATTTTAGAATTATAGCATTGATAATAGGAGCTCCATCCTCATTCTGTCTTTCATGGTTCCATACAAATGGTGGTGACATTTTTCCTTTTCTCCCTTTCAGTTTAAAGTTCCTGCAGCAACAAGTGCAATTATTACTAATGGTAAGAATTCACCTTAAACCGTAAGTGCTGGAGACGGTGTGACTTGAATCCCCAAAGCCCCTGTTTATGTTACCGTACACTTAATGGTAAACTCTGTGTGGAGGCCACTGCATGTAATAAACACTGTTCAATCTCTTCTGCCTTAGGTTAGGAAAGCTTCACGGCATCTAGAGTCCTTACTTCTTCCATTTTGGCAAGGCTTACATACATGTTAAGTTGTATCAGAAAGCGCTTTTGAGTATAGGAAGTTAAACAGAGATGTAACTTCCCTGTACCTTCCTGTGCTAATAGGAAAGTGGTTTACAGATGTGCAGTGCTTTTCAGTATAGATCTATTCAGTTAAAATCAGAGTCCCTTGGCGCCCTGGTGCAGATTCCAGTGGGACTGGCCTTAGACGGTAGCAAAGCAGTGGATGAGCCGTGGCGCGTGTCCTTCTGTGTATAAATGGCTGCGGGTGGGAAACGGCCCGTGCAGTCGTTCCTCCCGCGGGCAGGGGGCAGGTGCAGTAGCTCACGTAACTTACGTATAACTGGATTTCCTGCTGTGACATACTGTGTGTTGTCACACTGAAGAAAGATTGTTGGTGATTCTCCCATGGAAATGTTTCAGACATGCAGAGTGTCACTAGAACACTGAAAAAAATGACTTGTGTCCTCTCTTGGGGATTGTTTGCCACCAGCAGAGGAAAGGACTGGTGGCGCACATAGGTGTGTGTTGCTTAAAGAAGAAGTGACACTGTTGACTACGTGTAGCAAAATAGGATGTAAACCATCTTTATTGAGTGCATGAGAGTCATGGCAGTTAGGATATTTCATCTCATCCAACCGTGCTCACAGACATATATCCATGGGAGGTGTCCACTGGCGAGTGGACTCATCTTAGGAGACTCTTGTCTGTGTCCTGGGATCGAGGTTGCCCACCTTTGCCAGTTCCCATAGCAACGCTTTTGTGGCAAATCCCTTGTTACTATTTAAATTGTTTTAGCTTTAGGAATAACTTAAATGATTTATAATTTATTTTCTAGATGGAATAGGAATAAATCCTGCACAGACTGCTGGTGAGTGTCTGCCTGTGTGTCCATCGGAACTGAATTTTTTATTCATTTCAAGTAGATAAGATTTTTCAGAAGACACAGCTGTGTAGAGCTGTGGCAATCTGCTTGTAACTCAGTGACAGCTGGTTTCATTTATGTATAATGTCTATGGTTTTCACTCCAAGTAAATGCAAGCCGGATTAATAGTGGTTTAGGAGTTAAAAGTATTTAATGTGCATAGCAAAGAAAGCTGAAGGTGAAACTGTCTTGCTGAGTTAATGACTGACCCTCTTCTTAAAGTGATTGAGGCAGTCAGTGAATTGCTTAAAGTCTGAATAGTACATGGTTAGCATCCAGGAAGTGCCAGCGAGAGTGCTGGCCATCAGGTAGAGTAGATGTGTCTTGAACGTCAGTAAAGACACTCTTAACCTGGGGGGGAGGGGGGAAAGGGGGGAAGTCTGTATTTATTTTAAAATATGTCCCCTGGCTGATATTCTAATCATAATGCTTTGAAGCCATACTGTTTAATATAATAGAGACTCATTCTCAAACAATTCTTGGCTTTTAGACAATTGTGTTTGGAAGATTTTGATTTATGAAAATGACATTGTCTTTGTAGGACACTGGTGAAAGTCACACATCCAGAAAACGAAGAGCGGTTTACAGTTGTAGATGTTTGTTGCCATAAGCAATGATCTTGAGTGTATATTTTAAATTGAAATGTTTATTTACTGAAAATTCTGAGGCACTATATTACGTAAGATCTCGTATGATAAGGAGGAAGATGTTTTTGTCTTTTTGATTCTAGAAGTTTGTTAGCGTATAGTCATTTGAATTCTTGCTTATTCTCGAGTGCTGTTCTTCATGTCAGTAGAATCATGTGTGCCACCAGGCTTTGTTATAATCTCACCAGGCGTTTGAACCCAAGTGTCAGAGTATCTCAGTGGCCTTCTCTGACCTTGGATTTACTGTTTCTGTGTTGATGGCACCATTGGTGGACGTTACTGCATTTGCTGGCATGGCAGTGGCCAGTGTGCCTTCACGTTTAAGCACTTGTTGATCTGTGAGGCTGGAGGAGGACTGGGGGCAGGGCTTTGAAGAATGGGTACCAGCTCTGAGGATGCTGGGACTTCCTCCCTCCCTTAAGGGATCATTTGCTGTGTGCCCGTTAGATGCTGATACTGTCCTCTTTACAGCGTAACTTTGCATTTTTGTTTGTTTGTGTAGGAAATGTTTTTCTGAAACATGGCTCAGAGCTGCGGATCATTCCTAGAGACCGAGTTGGAAGTTGCTGATGTCCGCTTCTTGGAATCCACACCTTTCAGAATAAATACTGGTGTTTGTTGTTGCTGTGTGGTTAAAATCAGGCATTCACGATTCAGTGAAAGCACCAAGAATCAATGAAACAAGGAAAGTTGACTCTTGCCCCTTCTTTTCATTCTGTTCATGGGAAGAGAAAATGCCTCTGAGTGGAGGGTACCAACCACAGGTCCCACAGTGGGTGACTGCTGCCTCGCCAGAAGAAGAGGGCACTTCTGTGACAGATGGACTGTGCTTTTCAAAAACTAACAAAGCCAACAACAACAACCAGAGGATGGGTTCGATTATTCTTTTCAGGAACATTTGGAAAATCAAAATTCACAGTATCGAATGTATTTCCAATTTTAAAATATAAAGGATAACTGACCATAGAGTCATTTGGCTCAACAGCATCTCACCTGCAGGCCCATATTTAGATTTTCAATCATATTGTTTGTGATGAAGTTAATAGGTGTTTCTATGAACAGTTAAATTTTATACAAAAGCAAAATTAAATTATGGGAGCTAACATTTATGTGTGTAAAGTTGCTGTCTTACAGCGAATACCTTCGACATAGTGATCTTATGAAATCAGTTGTGTCCTGGTGGGAATTGACAGCAACACAGAAGGTCCTTCAGCTAAATTAAGCATTCCTCGACAATGTTGTTTACAGGGTCCTTAAACCCTTTCTTTTTAGGATTCTGTTTGAGTAGCATCCAAAAAATGTTGTTGCAGAGAAGATGCACGCTTAGAAGAAAGCTTAGAGAAGCAGTACCCTGTGCTGATGGGGTGACCCTAATGAACAGGGAGCCTAAGGAAGCTGTTAGCACTAGTCACAAGTAGGTAAAAGGCAGGGAGGCAAAGACGGCCAGGCTCTTGCCAGAAGAGCAAAGGCAGGGATGAGAATGGAAGGCGGGCAGCGGGAGAAGTCAGAAGCTACAGTAAGGTGGGAGAAGTGAGAACGGGGAGGAGTACTGGGTACAGGAGCAGAAGGCAACTGCACACACACTTTACACAGCCCACAGCAGTCTACAGGAAGAGTGCAGGGCAGAGCCCATCTGAGGTAACCAGTCGGACAAAGCTCTGCTCTGCAAGCCCGACAGTGAGTGAGTTCAATTCCCGAAAACCAACTCCACAGCCGGCCTCTGCCCGCACACAGACACCCTGAGGTGAGCCAGTCCCCTCTCCCAACAGGAAGGCAGTTTTAAAAGCTCTCCTTTGCCTCTCCGGAGGAAACCCATGTCTTCGCACATCTTGCAGGATGAATCAGGTGCTGCCAATGACTGAGCTGGGCGGCTCTGCTCCAGCGGTGAGCTCTTTGGATGTGAGGGGCTATCTGTCACATGCTCCCTAGAGCTAGCAATACAAGTTCCCAATAAACATTTACTGAATTAATGAGTAATGTCTCATTAATTTTTATCTCGTGTCTCATGTATTCCCCATTTCAGGGCTTTGGTTCACTGAGGGGAGGTTTATAAGAAAATTAAGAGCCTCTGAGGACCTATGTGATAGATGAAGGAACCGTCACTGTTCCCAGGTTAGCAGAGGACATGCTGGGGTGTGTGCAGCAATATGCAGTTCATGGCTGCTGGGATTTTACTTTTATAAAAGGCTAGTGCCCAGAGACCCTATTCCTTATAATATCAAGCTTCTAACCAGAAATGTTTAAATAATTAATTGCCTAATTTTTTTGTTATTAAATTTCTTCCATTCTGCCTTTAGCACAATCTGCATGCTGTCTGTAATGTTGAGACAGTCCTGCAATATAAAATGATTTACCTAACACATCTCTTCTTTGATTTGAAAATACAAAGCCTTCAAAATATTTCACTCAAAAACTAGATGATTTGATATTAAATGTGGTCTGTTCTTTGTGCTGAATGTTTTGGCATTGTATTTAAATATCCATAATTAATGCATTAGGAAAATGCATTTTGTTATGTTGTAAACCATGACTACCTTTATTTTAATATCAGACTTAATAGCCAGCATACCTATTGAGCCAGTTTATTAATACTATTTTTAAAAAATGGAAAGATGATTGAAAAGTTGTAAGTCATAAAAAACAAATGAATATTTCTAAATATTAATCCATCATGAAGAGAACTTGAGGTCCCGGCTCTGGTAGTGACCATAGTGAATTAGGAAATGACGAGTGCAGATTCTGGAAGCATCCCTCGGGTCTGAGTCAGAATCATAAGCGTGAGAAGCTTTGTCAGAAGGGCTGGTGGCTGCATTGCCTTTCCAAGGATTAGCTCCAAGCAGCCTTCCCACCCTAGACAGTAGAGTTGCAGGCTCAGGTTGAAGGACCCTGGAATCTTAGGCAGTCCTTGAAGCTGCTTGATTCTGTATAACCTGTCGGAGTGCAAAGATGCTGATGATTGGGTCACTGTTGGGAAACCTGTCTTTACAGTTCAGGTCAGTGTGCTTGTTGGCACTTTACGTCTTGGCTTTGGTTTTTATTTGAAAGAGATTCTTTTTTTTTTGTTTGTTTGTTTGTTTTTCTGAGACAGGGTTTCTCTAGCTTTGGAGCTTGTCCTGGCACTAGCTCTTGTAGACCAGGCTGGCCTCAAACTCACAGAGATCCACCTGCCTCTGCCTCCCAAGTGCTGGGATTAAAGGTGTGCGTAAATTGAAAGGACTCCAAGGGGGTTGGCTCAGCCAATGGAGGTTCTTGCTTACAATAGCCTGAGTTCATCCCTGGAACCGTCATGGTGGAAGAAAAGAACTGAACTCCACATCCAGACTGACACATGGACATCTATATGCACACAAGTGGAAACCATTTTAAGCTACCATATGTCTTTGAAGAGACCCAAACATTAGTAAATTGGAAGCATCAATTTACTATAAAGGAGCAATTCTAGGTTACTACTGTTCCCAAGGTTACTTATATAAAACTAGGTAAAATTATATGCATAGTTGATTTCTCTTTAAAATCCACTGAACCAGGGCTACACGGATTCCTCAGTGGTTAAGAGCATCTACTGCTCCTGAAGAGGGTCAGGTTTTGTTCCCCAGTACCTACATAGCATCTCAACCATCTGTAACTCCGGTTCTATGGGATTCAGTGCCCACTTCTGGCCTCTGTGGACACTGCACTTGTGTGCACATATCTGTACACATAAACCTAGAAAAAATGGTAAAAGTCTGTTTAACTTTATTGTGAAGAATAGTTTCATGTATAACTTGCTAAAATAGTGCTAAGAGATTCCACTTCCTTAGGAGTAGGAAGACTGCGCCTTGTCTTTGAACCAGGCTTTGCTTTTGGGATTCCATAGAATTCTGGAGAAAATTTCAGTATCCATTTTCTGCAAAATACGGATTTGTATTGAATTAAAATTGAAAAAGCAAAAACTCCCTCAGCGTGCTGAAAATGTGTGGGAACGAGTGCCAATACTTTAAATATGTGCTGTAGTAGTGACGGAATAGATACAGAGTCCAGCCACTGTGGCGCTTCTAGAACCCCAGCAGTAGGACCGTGAGATCAAGGGCAGCTTGGGCAAGACTGCCTCTGAACACACAAACAGAAAATTGCGCCAGTGACCGGCGTGTAGTTTTGCTAGCCCAAGTTCTGCCCAGTCAGAATCTGCAGTCAGTACTAGAGGCCTTTCTGGCCAGCACAGGCTTTCCTGTGCCATTCCTTGTCCGTAGGCACCGTGTTTTCCTGGCTGACTTCTGTAGCTGTAGCATGCCACAGAGGCTGGTAGGTCCTGTGGTGTGCTTACTGCCCTTACTTCCCCATCTATGAGGCCAGGAGACCTATGGCCCGGGAAGCTCTACTTCTCTGCTTCCAACCCAAATTAGGAATTTAGCCGCTGCATCTTCTTTTTTGCTGTGGCAATTATTAAGCACAGACTATTTGTCTCAAAGTATAAATTGTATAGGTTCAATATCATGGTTGGAATAAACACGGCCCCCAGAGGTTCACATATTTGAATGAGTGGTATGATTTAAGAAGGACTAGGGAGGTGTGGCCTCGTGGGAGGAAGTGTGTCACTGGGGTTGGGCTTTGGGGTTTCGAAAGCTCATGCCAGGCCCAGTCTCTTGCGCTCGCTCTCTCTCTCTCTCTCTCTCTCTCTCTCTGTCTCCCTCTCTCTCTCTCATTTTCTCTTTCCTGTGGGTCAGGGCGTAGCTCTCAGCTGCTTCTCCAGCCCATGCCTCCTGCCTGCCACCCTGCCCTGTACCTGGATGATAATGGACTAAACCTCTGAACCTGTAAGCAAGCCCTAATTAGATGCTTCCTCTTCAAAGAATTGGCTTGGTCACAGCAATAGAACAAGTGACCAAGACACATGGCCAAAACTGGGTTCCAAAACTAACTTGTTAGTAATAAATACTTAGCAAAGTAAAGAGACGAATGAAAACTTTGAAAATTACAATTAATTGTGCTTCATTCTCATTTGACTACCTTGTCCGTATCCCCCACTGTGTGTTAGAGCAGGAATTTACTGTCTCAGAAATAAACTGGTCACTTGTGAAGTGCCAAATGCTTCGTAAGGTATGCCTAGCAAATGGCCAGGATTAGCTGGAACTGGATGTTAAATACTGGGCACAATGAGTATTAAAATATGATTAAGGCCTGTTTCCTTTTCTTGTGCTTCCTAAGATGTATACATTTCTAAAACAACAAGATTACTCTGTGGAGGAGCCAGTGGCTGTCTCTGCTTGGCCTCAGCTAACTCCCAGTCCTGGTGTGTATATCTTCGCTTTGCCGTCCAAGGAAGCCTGTGTCCGAGGCAACACTGGGAGTGACAGCAGGGTCTACATAACCAGGTCCATGCGTCGAAGCATGCTTGCCATCTTCCCTTACAATGAAAATATCTCTGCAGTACAATATGCCCCAGTCAGAACGGGTCCATCAACGGTTATCAACCAATTCTGTGATCACACTTGGCTTGAAAAGGTCGCCCCTTTCATTCTCACTCCTTTCAGTGAGAATATTCATTTATGCGACAGTCAGCATTTGAAAAGGTTTGTGGCTCTATTGTCTGATTGTTTTTTTTTTTCTGCACAGAGTTGTGATTTTGTTGCTGAATGCAAAATAACAGCCAAGGCTGGCAGACAAATGGAGAGCCGGTTTTGGACATAAATCTCTGGTTCTCTGGCAAAACTCGTTTGAAAT